AATTGATACGACTCGTTCATTTATACGTGTTAATTTGATGAATAAATTAAATATTGATCGGTCTTCAATTTTCAGTACTGATTTAATCTCTCATTTCTTTATAAGACAAGAAAAATTGATACGGATCGTCCGTTTATTCGAGTTAATTTGTTGAGTAAATTAGAGAGATAAATACCTGAAAAATGAGAACAAATTGTCATTGTACGTGAACAATTTTCTGACACTGATTTACGGTATTGATCGATATTCGATTTTCGGTACTGATTTACTCTCTCATTTCTCTATAAGAAAAAAAAATTCATACGAATCGATCATTTATCCGCGTTAATTTGATGAATAAATTAAATATTGATCGGTCTTCAATTTTCGGTACTGACTGATTCTCTAATTTCTTTATAAGAGAATAAAAATTGATACGAATCGTCCTTTTATCCGACTTAATTTGTTGAGTAAGTTAGTGGGGTAAGTACCTGCAAGATGAAAACAACTTGTCATTGCACTTGGACAATTTTCTTGACATTGATTTATGGTATTGATCAGTCTTCGATTTTCGGTACTGATTTATTTTCTCATTTTTTTATAAGGCAAAAAAATTGATACGAATCATTCGTTTATCCGAGTTAATTTGTTAAATAAGATTAGAGGGTTAAGTACCTGAAAAATAAGAACCAATTGTCATTGCATTTGGACAATTTTTTGACACTGATTTATGGTATTAATGGATATTCGATTTTCGGTACTGATTTACTCTTTCATTTTTCTATAAGAAAATAAATTTATACGAATCGTCCATTTATCCGCGTTAATTTGATGAATAAATTAAATATTGATCGGTCTTCAATTTTCGGTATTAATTTATTCTCTCATTTCTTTATAAGACAAGAGAAATTGATACGAATCATTCGTTTATCCGAGTTAATTTGTTAAATAAGATTAAAGGGGTAAGTACCTGAAAAATAAGAGCAAATTGTCATTGCACTTGGACAATTTTTTGACACTGATTTATGTTATTAATGGATATTCGATTTTCGGTACTGATTTACTCTTTCATTTCTCTATAAGAAAAAAAATTTATACGAATCGTTCATTTATCCGCGTTAATTTGATGAATAAATTAAATATTGATCGGTCTTCAATTTTCGGTACTAATTTATTCTCTCATTTCTTTATAAGACAAGAGAAATTGATACGAATAATTCGTTTATCCGAGTTAATTTGTTGAATAAAATTGAAGGGGTAAGTACCTGAAAAATGAGAACAAATTGTCATAGCACTTGGACAATTTTTTGACACTGATTTATGGTATTGATCGATATTCGATTTTCGGTACTGATTTACTCTTTCATTTCTCTATAAGAAAAAAAATTCATACGAATCGTCCATTTATCCGCGTTAATTTGATGAATAAAATAAATACTGATCGGTCTTCAATTTTCGGTACTGATTTATTCTCTCGTTTCTTTATAAGATAAGAAAAATTGATACAAATCGGTCGTTTATCCGAGTTAATTTGTTAAATAAGATTAAAGGGGTAAGTACCTGAAAAATGAGAACAAATTGTCATTGCACTTGGACAATTTTCTGACACTAATTTATGGTATTAATGGATATTCGATTTTCGGTACTGATTTACTCTTTCATTTTTCTATAAGAAAATAAATTTATACGAATCGTCCATTTATCCGCGTTAATTTGATGAATAAATTAAATATTGATCGGTCTTCAATTTTCGGTACTAATTTATTCTCTCATTTCTTTATAAGACAAGAGAAATTGATACGAATCATTCGTTTATCCGAGTTAATTTGTTAAATAAGATTAAAGGGGTAAGTACCTGAAAAATAAGAGCAAATTGTCATTGCACTTGGACAATTTTTTGACACTGATTTATGTTATTAATCGGTATTCGATTTTCGGTACTGATTTACTCTTTCATTTCTCTATAAGAAAAAAAATTTATACGAATCGTTCATTTATCCGCGTTAATTTGATGAATAAATTAAATATTGATCGGTCTTCAATTTTCGGTACTAATTTATTCTCTCATTTCTTTATAAGACAAGAGAAATTGATACGAATAATTCGTTTATCCGAGTTAATTTGTTGAATAAAATTGAAGGGGTAAGTACCTGAAAAATGAGAACAAATTGTCATTGCACTTGGACAATTTTCTGACACTGATTTGTGGTATTAATTGATATTCGGTTTTCGGTACTGATTTATTTCCTCATTCTTTTAAAAGACAAAAAAAACTGATATCGTTCGTTTATCCAAGTTAATTTGTTGAATAAGATTAGAGGTGTAAGTACTTAAAAAATGAGAACAAATTGTCATTGCACTTGGACAATTTTCTGACACTGATTTATGGTATTAATGGATATTCGATTTTCGGTACTGATTTACTCTTTCATTTTTCTATAAGAAAACAGAAAATTAATACGAATCGTTCATTTATCCGCGTTATTTTGATGAATAAATTAAATATTGATCGGTCTTCTATTCTCGGTACTAATTCTCTAATTTCTTTATAAGAGAATAAAAATTGATACGAATCTTTCTTTTATCGGACTTAATTTGTTGAGTAAATTAGTAGGGTAAGTACCTGCAAGATGAAAACAACTTGTCATTGCACTTAGACAATTTTCTAACGCTGATTTATAGTATTGATCAATATCCGGTTTTCGATACTGATTTAGTCTTTGATTTCTCTATAAAAGAAAAAAAGATTGATACAAATCGTTTGTTTATCCACGTTAATTTGATGAATAAATTCGATATTGATCGGTATTTGATTTTCGGTACTGATTTCTCCTTTCATTTTTCTATGAGAAAAGAAAAAATTCAAACGTATTTTGTTCATTCATCCGCGTTAATTTGATGAAAAAATTAGATATTGAACGGTCTTCGATTTTCGGTACTGATTTATTTTCTCATTTTTTTATAAGACAAGAAAAATTAATACGAATCGTTCGTTTATCTGAGATAATTTGTTGAATAAGATTAAAGGGGTATGTACCTGAAAAATAAGAACAAATTGTCATTGCACGTGTGCAATTTTTTGACACTGATTTATGGTATTAATCGATATTCGATTTTCGGTATTGATTTACTCTTTCATTTCTCTATAAGAAAACAGAAAATTAATACGGATCGTTCATTTATCCGCGTTTAATTTGATGAATAAATTAAATATTGAACGTGCACGATGGGGGGGAGAGGGATGGGAATAGGTGGTAGAAAGGTTGCTTGGAGAGGGGGAGGGAGAGGTGGAGGAGTGGAGGGGGCGAGGAGGACGAGAAGGATTAAAAGGATGAGAAAGAGGGCGAGGGAGAAAGTGTGAAGGAATGGAATGAATGGAGGAAAGCGAAAATCGGCGGTAGGAAATAAGAATTATAGGAGTAACAGCGGCATAGAAATATAGATATATACATATATATAAGAATAGATGATAAGCGAACAATTAATTATAAGAGATAAGCGAGCGGATAGATGTAAGATATTTGTAAAGTAGATTTAAGGAGGGGCGGAGGATGGGAGTGTGTGTGTGTGTGTGTGTGTGCGAGGGGATAGGGGCGAGCGTAATAGGAAGTAAGGAGAGATTATATTGGAATTTGCAACCCCGCCAGGGGAATCAATAAAATATACATACAATTAAATATTTTGGTCTTCAATTTTCGGTACTGATTTATTCTTTCATTTCTTTATAAGAGAAGAAAAATTGATACGAATCATTCGTTTATTCAAGTTAATTTGTTGAGTACATTAGAGGGGTAAGTACCTAAAAAATAAGAACAAATTGTAATTGCATGTGGACAATTTTCTGATGTTGATTTATCGGTATTGATCGATATTCAATTTTCGGTATTGATTTACTCTTTCATTTTTCTATAAGAGAAAAATTGATACGAATCGTTCGTTTATCCGAGTTAATTTGATGAATAAGTTAGATATTGATCGGTCTTCGATTTCGGTACTGATTTACTCTTTCATACATGTTGCCGTATCAAAGTCTCCTCTATAATAAACGATTTGACACGTCTGGAGACGCATGATGTATCGTTGCCCGCATCTCATTCCCTTCGTCCTGCTTCCCTGTATAAAATGTCGAATTGAAACGTATTAAAAAGTATTGACATTTTGAATATGTCTGAATTCTGAATCTTTTTGATCCGAAGAAAAGGACTGAAAAGTATTAGTTTCCATTAAATTTTACTGCGCTAAATGCGAGACGGTCTCTTTCGCCCGGGTGCCTCACCAGGGAAATTTCTCTGGTACGCTAAATTCCGTAAGGCCATCAGTCTTTGTAGTATATCTCATCGGTGCATAAGGTTTATATTACCTGTACCTGTATATACATATTTTGAAACATTTTCTTTAGATGTTATATCAAACGGATTTTGCACGTAATATCCTTCGGACCACAAAGACATTATTATTTTGATCATTTTGATTTGTTTGATATTCATTAAGAATTCTCTAGATTGCAACCGCCATGTTGAACGACTAAATTGTCGTGTGAAATGTTTCAATTTTCACAAATTCATATGAAATTTTTCATTTTTCACTAATTCACAAAATTCACTTTCACTCTTCACTAGTTCACACGCTAGGGAAAAGATTCATGATCGCTGGCCTGAGCAGCTGCAACGCTTCTCCAACGCGCATACTTTTTACTTTAAAATAAAATATTTCTAGGACAAATTAAACTTTTACTCTGTTATAAACATGGAGAATATTCAAGTCTATAGTTTTGCTAAAAATATATGATATAAAAAACTGATTTAAAAAGTATCTTACAGATCCAAGTGATTTAATTTTTATCTATATAATCAGATAGAAAGTTTATTTTTTGCAATATTACATAAATATAAGTAGAGATCCATTAAATGTTTGAATATACCTGATACCGAAATTTTATGACGACACGACGTAACTCGAAGATGATACAAGAATCGAATTTCCTTAATAATTAATAATCCTTATTAATTAATAATCATTGCTAATTTGAATCAACTTATCCCTTGGTTTTTTACTTTATTCTTACTTCTTTTCATGATACAACTTAAGCAATTCACGTATTTAAATGCTTTTCGAACCACAGATACAAGATACGGAGCAATTGTTTACGCTTTCATCAAACCTGCAAATCTCGAATATATCTTCGCATAAAAACATACTCGTACGACAAGTTTTCTCCTGATGAATTTGCATTTATTTTTCAAAATCTTAACAAAATTTGATATCACAATGAGACACGTGTTAAATTTGATATTAAGATATATTTCACTGTCGATAAAAGAGCTTACACTAAAGCAAATCAGCATTTTATTTCTGAATAATTTCATTCCTATCAAATTTTTTCAACTTTGCTTTTTAAAAACTTTTGGAACATATAAGATATATATTCCGATGTATAGTTTACTTAAAATAGCAAATGACAAGATAATCATTGAATATAGATATACTGAACTCAACGGTACAAGAATCACTTTTTCTCGATAACCAAACCAAGTCCAACAGATTCAATTTCTACCATAAAGTTAGAACATAGTGGTTCAAGAAGCACTTTACAGCGTGAAATCTCTAACTTACAGATATATTTTGAGTATAGAGTTTACTTTTTTTTTTTTTTACAGTGAATATAAATCGAAATTCATCAAGTGTCAAAATGTGTCCTTTTCGCTCAGTCTGCTTTCTGTTTGCTGCTCTCCGGTGACTTGTCACCATTCATAGGTGAACGGGAACGACTACGGCTCTTGCTGTGCTTGCTTCCCGATCGTGACCTAGATCTGTCACCTCGTGAGCGCTCGCGGCTCGATCTATCCCTAAAACGATAAAGAGAAAAGAGGAGAGCGATTAGGAGTTCGTTCGCGACTTCGCCGATAGACGATTTATTTTTCTTGCGCCAAGTATTTCGATCAGAGAGAACAAAGCCGTAAACTCGCCGATAGGAACTCACTTTGAGGGAGACTTGGCTTTGGATTTGGACTGCGACCTGGACTTTGACCTCTCAGCCTTGGACCTAGAACGAGATCTGGATTTGGACTTTGACTTAGATTTCGACTTTGAGCGGTCTCTTGATCTGCAAAATTATAGTTCAAAATGAAAGGGGGACAAAAAAGTAGAACGACTAAATACAAAGAAACTCGCTTTTTTTTTTGTTTTATTTTCCAAGCGCGCGCGGTGAGTGAGTGATCGCGTGTAAGCGTGATCAAGCGTGAGAGCTCAAGGCACGTGGCCAGCCCAAAAACACTGCCAATGTAACAACAAATGGGAATGAGAGAGTGTACGTTGATCGTGACGATCGATAATTGCGCAAGAAAAAAATACAAAACAAACGAAACAAATATATGTAACTATGAGTGGGAACGAAACGGCTAAATGACGAAATAAATGTGGCGTAAGAAAGGTGATCCTAGGTAGAGACGAGGTATGGAGGTTACTCACTTGGATTTGGAACGTGAGCGGCTGCGTTCCGGAGATTTGGATTTAGACTTGGATTTGGACTTCGAATGTGCTCTTGATTTGGAACGGCTACTGCGACGGCTGCGGCTACGGGAACTACGGCGACTTCTGCGATAAAAACGCCAACGAGCGATGAAGATGTACTTGGTAGTTTGAAGTAATTTGTCGCAAAACTATCTCTTCAAAGGCCAAAGGATAGATTTTGCGATAGAGTGTACGCAAGATTTTAAATTTTCATTGCATTGTCAAATAAAAAGAAAATAAAAGAAACGAAAGCATACAACCGTGTGACTCACAACTTGTAACAAGGAGAAATACATCTAATATCTTGAACGGTAATAAAATTATCCCGTTAACACTTGTAAAAGAGAAAATTATAAAAGTGAACAAAATGACAGAAACAATTTGAAATGTGCGTTAATAGAAGTGATAATCGATATTAAACAAATTGCACAAACAGATTGCAAAGCAAACACGTTATATAGACAATTATATACGAACGAAGTAAATCATAATATAAAAAAGAATAGGTGACGAAATGTCGCCCCGACAGTACCTTGATCGGGATCGAGAACGACGATTATACCTTGAGCGGGAACGCGACCGACGACGAGATCTTGATCGAGATCGTGAGCGTGATCTCGAGCTAGACGATCTCGATCGACGGCCACGTCTCTTGTCTTCGATGAGTCTAATCCTGCGTCCGTTCAGTTCGGTGTCATCCAATTTATCGATAGCGTTCTTCAAGTCGGAGTATGTCGCGAACTCAACAACTCTGCAACATCACGAATTTTAGTCGCGTAAAATTCACACGGTAACACAGAACGAGGATAATACGCATTGCATCGTTATGACGTCGCGAGTAAAACCGCGAGTAGAACTGTCCAAAGCTGTTGTTCGTGTTTGTTACAACTATACATGGGAAAATAATCGTTAACAATGGCTAATTATTCAATCACATGTAACAACCAACGTCACCAATAACAAGTGTATGTATGTATGTGTGTGTGTTGTGTGTCTCTCCTTACCCTTCGTTCCTTCGTTGCTTATGAGCATCTGCATAGGTCACTTCTCCAGCTTGTCTCATGTAATCCTTCAAATCCTGGACATCACACAAGACCAAGAATTAATATTTCGACTCGATTGAGGTTAAAGGTATATACGAATTAATATGCAATAAATTTAGAATTAGTAGTTACGTATGGAGTTCACTACACTGTGTCCCTAGTCTGATACATATCGCGCAGGTTAAGATATATCCTGTGCACTCGATATATGTCCTATTTCGGTCTTTCCCTACGGCAGGTAATGTAACGTCTACTCTTTGTGAAAAAGAGGCGACAGTGCCTACAAATCTGCTCCTTGTATCTTCGGTGCTGAGCATTAAGATTACGAAATGTATGTGTGTGTGTGTGTGTGTGTGTGTGTGTGTGTGTGTGTGTGTGTGTGTGTGTGTGTATGCGTGTGTGTGTGTACGTGCGTGTACATGTGTATGTGCTCGAATTTAGTATCTATTGTTGATACAACCTTTCTTTTGATGCAATTCAATCCTCAAAACAAGTGTAGTTACAATTTTATACATAACTCGCTCCACTTTGCAGAACGACAAATTTTCAACATTGTCAATAATCGTTAACCCGTGCACGATATAAAGCGATGATACTTGTAATGTACTTTCGAAATAAATTCGCTTCTGCAAAGAGGCTCACAATAGAATTACAGAATTAATAATATGCAGTACCTGTATAAAATATCTAATAAAAGAAATACATCCATATGTATTTGACATTGCCGGATTTAACACATTATTTCATAAACAGTGCTTTTTGAAAAGTTGGAATTTTGTGCAACAGAATCGTTAAGACACAAATGCAAAGAGTACAAAAAAAGATATACACAAGATCTTGAAGGGATCTATCCAAACACGACTTATACATGAAACGGAAAATGTCCGAAGTTGAATAAGAGACAAGCGAAAATCAAACTAAGGCGAAAAGAATAACAGTTACACGCTGATAAACTAAATCCTGAAGATAGCGGGAAGAAGCGGCAGAGAGACTGTTGTTCTCCCGTTCCTTTCGTGGAAATGTTCTTTCTGAATGTTGCGCTACGTTTCTTCCATGTCGTCCGTTCTTTTTCCGTTCCGTAGTCTCTTCCGCATGCTCGAGTCTGAAGGACACTTCGTGATCGTTCCTCGTGAGGGGCATTAATCGGCGAATGAAGGTGGATATTGTCTGTTTGGTCCGTATGCGCTCATTCATCGCTGGGCGATCTCTCTGCTTGTATCTCTGTGGGAACCAGGTACGACTTTCGTGTCGTGGACTTGTTGGTGATGTGCCTGTATAATGCCGTTTCTTCTTACACGAGTACGAGAGAGCACAGAGACGTCTCCGTATTCTCCGGGACACTTTGGTGGCGGTGGTGTTTTCTACGATTCGCGCCGATGCCTCTCAAGGTCCGAGCGCAAGTGTTTTTACGTCGCGATAAGAGGAAAAAAAAAAAGAAAAAAGAAAAAAAAAAAGAAAAAGAAGATCCCGAACGATATTCGCGCATGCTATTGTCGAAAGGCGATTCCCAGTCACCTGCGCCATTCCCTTTGGAAAGATTTCGTTTCTCTCGTTTGTTATACAAAAATGTCCAAAGGACAGTTTTGTAATGAGATATAATTGCCTTGCATAAAGAAAAGTTGGCCTCTATAAGATAAAATCAAACGGAAGAGGCAGTCCATCAGCAAAGGACAAACGTACACGACGTGTGACTGCAAGTTGACAGTAGTTGCAAAGAACAAAAGAAAAGTGGCATCGATAACGCGTTATTAATGAGTGACATATGGATGCCTAATTTCGAGCACAGGAACAATATCACTATAAAAGAGGTACTCTATCTCTCTCCAGTACTGGCTTCACTTATTAGTCGCTAGTCTCGTTAGCGTGCACGGCTTCGGGTTACGTAAGACATCTCAACGGTTCGACATATACGCAACGACGCCCCTGAGCTATGGTGCACAGTATCAAGAGTATAATGAGATATAAAATAGAGATATATATAAATATATAGTATACATATGTGAACAAGACATGTTTAAGTGTATATAGTTATATAATAGAGATATGTGTATATCTAAAGAGTACACTCGGTTAAGGTGACGCATTTACCTTGGGCCCAGGCACCACCTTGCTTACGGACAGAGAGAAAGGCCAGGCACACGGCGCTTGGTCGGGTCGAACGGATTCTGTGTGGCGTAGTCGCGGATGGTTCGGGTTTCGGCCCGCGTATGCCCTCTCATGGGTGGCCGCTGCCTGACTTACTAGATGGCTAGGTCGATGATGTACCAGTAGCAGTGACGGTCACGATGAAGTGATGGATGGACGGAAATGTAGTGGATTGTGACGGTGATGATGGTTGATGAGAATGAAGGTACTAATTGTAACGATGTCGACTTTGTAACAAGGGTTAAGAGTGGAGGTAGCGGTGAAGATGATGATAAAGATGGTGATTTTATGATAGGTGGCGGTGATGAGATGATGACGACGATAGTGATGTATCAGTGGTGATGAGTGTCGGTAAACATGATTATCTCTCCCAGGCGAACAAAGTAGTAGGCGGTGAGGGTTGTGTTGATAGCGTAGATTGAGATTCTCTCTTTCTCCCTTTCTCTCTCTCTCTCTCTCTCTCTCTCCCTATCTCTCTCTCTCTTTCTCCCTCTCTCTCTCTCTTTCTCTCTCTCTTTCTCTCTCCCTCTCTCTCGGTTTCTTTGTTTCACTTTTCTCCCCCAGTGATTACGATGAGAGGATCGGGCCCCGTGCGCACGACAACCTATCACTGGGATTTTCACCGGGAATTCACCACGTATCACTGCGCGCGAGTAGTAGATAGCAGGTGGTAGATAGGTGGTGTGGTGGATAGGTGTACACCCCAGCGCCAACGCGGCTCTCTCTCTCACCCGGGACACCTCAGAAACCACCCTGGTGCCACTTGACCTCAAGGCGGGCCCATCGCGTGCATCGTCATCTCTCTATCATCGCACATCATCAGTCTATCGGCCCTACCGGTCGCCCCTCCTCGGCGAAGAGGATATGACTCTTCGGAAAGAACATCAATTTTATTTCGTTTTTTCTCAAACTGCTGCTCGCGCGAACGTAAATGAAATAATAAATTGAAAAAGTAACGTCGAAGGACAATCGAGACTCGACCGGGAGTGAAAAATGTTATCTTATCGTCAAACGGCAACAACCAATCATCCGAAAAGAGTGCAACGATAGATATATAGATCATATTCAATATATACAAATATATATGCATGTATATATGTACGCAATGTAAATTGATCAAGTAAGACTTGGTCCACATGCACACGAGGTAGTCTCTGCGTTAGTTTCTCGACTCTCGTCGGCTCGAGCACCTCTTTGGATACTTTTTTTTTCGCTACGCTTTCGTCTATTGCGTCCTGGTATTTCCCACATCGTTAGCGCTTATCCGTTATTGCCTTGTCTCTATCTTCTCTGTAGTCCATTATTACCACCGTATCCGTCGCTTCGTTTCTTTCGCTTTGCACCTCTTCGTCCACAACGTCCGGTCGCGGTTTTCCTCGTTACGTTGGTTCCATCATGGGTCGTTGATACTCCAAATTCCTCTCGCTATCGCGTGTCCCTCGTGTTCGGGAATGGTGATGCGTGATTGTGCATCTCATACGTGTTCTCGTATCTTCTCATCATCCATATGCAGCACTTTCGTGCTTCTCTCTTTTCTTCCTTTCTCTTTTTCTGCCTCTTTTGATTTTCATAAAAAGTGACTTTATGTACGTATAAAGAAATTTGACTTCGACATTGCCATAGACTTACTTGATCAAAATGTTACATCTCCCGATTACGAATCAGGGCTCTCTTTATGAGTAAATGAACATAAAATGAGACGAAAGAGAATCAAACAACAAAGATAAGGAAATCGTTAAAAAATGCCGCCGTACGTAGCGTGGGTGCGCGCGTGTGCGCGTAAATTTGGTCACGAGGAAACCGCGAAAACCCGTTAAAACTTAGAGAATCGCGGCAAAATCCATCAAAGCGGTGCGACAACAACGTACGTACTTTCTCTCTCTCTCTCGCTCTCTCTTTCTTTCACTCTCTCTCTCTCTCTCTCACTCGCTCTGGAACCTCGACTAGTAATCAAACTCACTGAGATATGAAATCGGTAAAAATGCAAAAGTAAAAAAAAAAAGAAGCGAGATATATGTGCCGCTTACCTGCCAACTGACACGGCTAGACAGATTCTCCACAGTAAGCCGATACTCTGTACGTGTTGGTGGTCCGTATCTAGAATGGGAAAAAATCCGGCTATTATCCTCATGTATGTTTCTAAATCAAGCAGGTTTGTCTTGGACCTGATTTTACGTTAAATGTAGCAAAAGAAAGTATGATAAAACGTAAAACTTTAATATAATTCAATATTACAACAACAATAACAACAATAACGACAACAAAGTGTGTAAGTAAAGTTTCGTAAGTAATCGTTAGAGCGTAACATTGGATGTATGTACCTGGGCAATGATTGCTTGTAGCTAGATGCAGTCCTCGTGTTTCTGTTCACACTATCTCTGCAAAAAGGGATGTCATGTGAACAGAAATAACGGATCGTCGGTTAAACCTTCAGCAAATAACTACAGATCTGCACTCATTGCTCAGGCACACAATCAATCACCTGTTCCAATCGAATCAAATCTATTCAAAATGCAGCAATAGCGTACCTGTCGTGCCGCATATCGTCTCGGCTGTAACAAACACAATACCACACATCTATTAGTCACCAATTACATCGCTCCACACATCTCAACTACCAGCAATAAACATAATATCTGGGAGGGTGTTCACTAGGCGTTTTCACTATCAATTGTTCATTAATTGACGCGGTCCGATTTCTTTTTCTTTGTTTTTCTCTTTTCCGAAAAACACGACGACAATTCGAGACGTACTCGGGAGAGCAGCCAAATCCAAGACAACCAATCAAGAGAAGGTAACATACGTTACTCTACTAACGTTTTCGTACGCGCGAACACAAATGAAGCTTGCAACACGAATTTTATCACTCGTCACTACGCTCTCTACACTAGAGCTTATCATATCCAAGGTTACGTTCTTCCCTGAGCGGACGATGTGCGAAATCGAGCACTTCGAAGGGGGAAAAAAAAAAAAAGGGGGGGAACAAAGGTAAATCAAGAGGTAACAAGTGAAATTAAGAGAAAACGGAAAAAAAAAGAAAAAAAAAGAGAGAGAAAAGAAAAAACGAGAAACAGAAACAAGAGAAACATTCATATAAAACGAAAGAAAACATTCAAATAAACGGCGGGTAATCGAATAAATAAATAAATAAGCAAATCGATCGTTTAGATTTCGCACATCCCTAGCCGACTGCCTGCAGGGGAGGAGGGGATAATGATCGCTCTGATAAAATAAAAAAAAGGATAGCGTGTCTTACGCAGATCGCCTCGAGTCCCCATAACCACCACGGGAGTCACCATAGCGCCACTGGTCACTACCCCTAGGTGTCCCCCGGGCCCTCTCTACAGTAATTCTGTAACAAGACACATTGGATATGCTTACTTGTCTCTCCAGGAGCGTGAGCGTCCGTAGCCACGGTCGCCTCGCCTCCCTGAAACACCCCGTGCTATCTCCACCGCCACTCTGAAACACACCCAACAAAACCCCGCCTAAGTCCTCGACTAATTCTTACTCTAATGCTGCTTCCTTCCTTTTCCTTCCATTCCTCAGCCTCCTCCCGAAATCCGTTCAAATATCATCCGTTCTCTCTCTCTTTCTCAGTATCTCTATCGTCCGGTTTCTCTCTTTCGCTCTCTGAGGCGCTGTCCCCTATCTCTTTCTTTCACTCCCTCTGTCACGATTCGTCCTCGTCCCCTATATATTCTAGATGCCTCTCTTACAACGCTACTTATGACCGAGCTAATTTTCTTTCTTCATCACGTCCATCAGCTTTTTCGTAATTAAGTCTCTATAGAGTGATCCTTGTGATTATTTCAAATTTCCTTTCTAGTTTCTTTGTTCCACCACTATCTCTCTTTTTTCATTTTAAAATACCACACAATACCAGACACAGATGTTAGACAGGATCACGCGATGAAATTATGAAAAAGCACATGGATCGGATGTTCTTTCGTAATAAAAGAAGCAATATACATCTCGCCATGACGCAGACATTATTACATTTACTTTGGCGATTGTTCTCTAATCGGGGAATTGATGGAAGTAGTTCAAAATGGCGGTAAGTCGCAACGGTTTTTTAAGATGCACTTTTTTGTCACGATAAAAGTCCGATCATTAATTTGGAGGACAGACACCGTTTACTAAAAACGCAAGGTTAACAGCATTAACGGAGCACCCGTTCAATGCCAACAAATACTTGTGCATTTGTCTTTAATTATACAGAAGCAACAGCGGATAATATTACTGGTACAGGTTGAAACATAATGCGATTAGAGCGTTGAGAACATTTTCGTTCAATCACATTTTCGTCAGCATTGCTCAGAGATTATTAATATTATCGACACACTTACATAAATTCCCAAAAGAAAAAAAATAAATAAATAAATAAAAAATGGAGATAAACATACGGTAAAGAAATATTTCCAAAATTTTCATCAAGATATTTCAAACAATACACGCGGATACGGTAACTCCTTGGTTAAGTTATCTCAATGCTATTGCTTCTCATATATCAATCTGTTAGAGACAGAATCGATCGAAGTAACGTAAAGTCGACATTGAACTGTGTTTACTTAAGATAACAAGAGATAAAAATAAAGGAGATATAGGACAATTCTAGAATATGGGAGAATATTACATATATAATTCTACAATAAATATCGTATAAGAACGCCGCTGAAAAAAGAACTGTTATAAATTAACTATATTAAGGTATATTAGACACTTTAATAAATAACTTTCGTTAATCTTAATAGCAGCAAGTTAATCATATAAGCTCAACTTTCCTATTTTCCCTATTTTTTTTGCTTCTTCTAGATGAAAAATATCTTTCCGAGTTTGCTACTGATAACAGAGTCAAGTCAAAAAATTGATCATTGATCAACCGACACTTTTTTTTTTTAACATCATTGATTATTTCACAAGTAGTTTCGAACACTGTAAAAAGGAACTATATCTATAATGCACTACTAGTTGATTTGGATAAATTTTTAATTGACTCTATGTGTTAGCATGATGAATTATGATGCATAAAATTCGTTTGCTCTTAAGCAGAGTGTACCCCCAGTACCAATAATATTATAATTATGATAAAGTTCAAACAGCGTGATCGAAGTAATCAATTCACATACTAAATGAATTGTATGTAAGAACTATTCAGTCATGCAAAAAAACATGCTACCTATACCATTCCGTCATACGCCTAATGTGGTCGCTCAGTACACGTATGTTTCAAAGAACACATATACATTATATAAGACAGAATCGCATTACCTTTCCCCTAGAAGCTCCTTCCCGTTGAGTTCGTACACGGCATCGTCGGCGTCTCTGTAGTCATCAAATTCCTGCAAAAAGAATTTTTCCGGTATCAACTAGCACGAAATGTGGTTTCGTTTATTAGTTTTCTACTTTTTAAGCTACTTCTACTGCAATAAGAGACTTTTAAGAATAACATTCGATATCTACAATTGGTAATTTTTACGGAAGATAATTTCGAATATCGGTCGGTATGTTGTAAAAAAGATCTTTTTCTAGGTTCACGTTTTAAATATTATTGAGGAGTTATTTATAAGGTGTAGACATGTAAAGAGTGTTAATGGTATTAATAAAATCTCCACGGCGGTAACAAGGTTTCAATACATTCGCGATTTTCTAGAATCATTTCATGTATTCTCTTCACTTGTATCCTGCAAAAATTTCAAGATAGAATATATCATTGTTTAATATAACAAATAAATATATAAACATGTATGTATAATTATATATTATCAAGCAATAAGTGCAAAACTTGAATCGATATAGGTGCTTGAGTTACTGATAGAGATGATTATTTTGTAATGTATGGGCCTCGTTATAAAGAATTCCTTTCCCTTGGTTATACATAACTTACAAAGTTTTTGCAGAATAATCGACGGATAAGCAGCACACAGCTCCTCTAAACAGCCGCAGCCAATGTGCTCAGGGCTCAGGTCAGGTCAACTCAGGTAATAGAGTTACGTTTGCAATTTTAACACATTGCAGCCTACCCATTTCGGTCCAAATCATGATAGTTAAAAATAGAATGGACTATTCTTTCACAAGTGTGAAATTTGTCAACTTACGACTGTAATGTTACATCGACATGAAGGCTTGCAGTAACTAAATATAATTTATCACGATAAGATATGGCGAAGGGAAACAATCTTATTTATTCACATGCACTCAACACTTCATATGTGTCTATGCATATGCTTTTATATACAAAAGAGAAAACAAAATTCCAGAAGCATGTAAAACTGTAAGTAACAACGAAACAAAGCTAAGAGAGTATTGCAACTTGTTTCAGCACTTAATTCTAAGAGTATATCGGTTACAGACAGCTGCTCTTGAAAACAAGAAATTGCAAGCAGTGTTAAGCTATGAACTAATCGAGATTATCATGGGACCAAATTGAGCAATGCGAAGTGTTATTGTAGGTTTATTTACAGCAGATTACAAATACTTACAACAAAGCCGTAACCATTCTTGATGAGAACATCACGGAAACGACCGTAGCCTCTGAAAAATCTCTCAAGGTCTCTTTCCCTGGTCCCATACGGAAGCCCACCGACATAGACTCTTGTCCCTACCATACTGTAAAAAAACAATTAAACCACATTAGACTTACCACAAAGGCAAATCCATTCTTCATAGCGACCTCCTTGATTCTACCATATTTCCGGAAGAACTTCTCGAGATCGCGCTCTCTCACCCGGTATGTTAATCCACCAACGAATACTCGGGTGCTCATTCTTAAAGGAAAATATAAAAACACCTTACATAACGAGCTACCTAAGGAATCCGCCGCTTAGTCACAACATAAAAGAATCGTGAGCTTATGAAAATCTAACCGAGACGTAAATGAATCTGAATTTACTTGAAAACTTGAATAGCAATTTTTAACGGCGTTCGTGCGCGGTGTAAATAGAAACTCTCCGTTGTCCGAATAAGTAACACAAACATGAGATTCAAGTATACCCCTTTATTTAAACAACAGTACGTTAGCAATACTGATACAATTTTCTTTACGAGTCATTACGTACGACGCACTGTATACAAAGCATTGCCCGTTAATTACCCGTTTTGTCTTATACGGTGAAACAAAGCGCTCAGAAGTATCTAGACTTTCAACAATACGTGGAAAATGCGTCGCAGTGTGAAGACGCGTGTCCTGAAACGCGCAGTACCGTGTCTTATCGAACGACCTTCACACGCGCCGTTATGCCGCAAAATGGTCGATGTATGCGAAGCTCGTGTGCGCGTGTAATTCCAAAGGAAAAGGAAGAATGCGAAAGCTCTCGCTGCGCTGTTGAGCAACAAAGGATGTTCGGACCTTCCAGAATTTTCGATGGCGCCGGCCGTGACGAGCGTCGGGGATTGGCGATCGATACGAGAGCACGTTGATTAATTGCGTCGCGAGGCAATCCCGTGGGTCCCGTAATGGCCGCGAAGAAGAGTGACTCGCGTTTCTAGTGCAGATGCTTCCGACGCGAAATTACGAGCAATTATGCAAGGTGCGGGAGCTCCATTTTTCCTCGAAAAAATCTATGACATTATCAAAATAATACGGGCGCGTGTGTCGCACTCAGTCTTCTCGAAAGCTGGTGGAATACGAGCGAAAGCTGACTTGCTACGATGAATTTTTTTTATTTTCGTCCCTTAGCTCGCACTTCTCTACGGTAGTTTATATAATGCTGATAGAGAAGACAAAACGAATGCTTAATTTCCTCACCTGGACGTAAGCGGCAACGCCGATCACCTCGATCACTACTGAACGTACAAGCGCTCGTTCGCTCTCTCTCTCTCTCTCTCTCTTTCTCTCTCTCTCTCTCTCTCTCTCTGTCACGAAGCGTTGCTAACGAAATTGGTAGACGAAGTGAACGATGTCACCGCGCAACCAAAATGGCTCGTGAGTACAACGGAAATGGAGGGATACGCGATGAAGGTTCACACGACTGCGCGCAGGGACTCCGCCATAGTCTCGACGTCAGACGCCACCTGAGTCAATGTCGTGACTATACGACGGAAGGAACGATATCGATGCGTATCTCTGCGGACAGATTTCTCTCGTAAAATTGAAAACGAACAATAACAATCGTACACATTGCAGAATAACGTTGTTTAAGAGTTTCTGTGCTACTACCAACGAGCGGATTTCCCCCTCCCTCTTGGACAATCCCTTCGTTAAATGATACTTGAGCACCATATATAGAACGGCGCTTCGATCGGACAAAATTGCCAGATTTTTACAAATATCCTCGTGAAATTCGCTGAATAATTAAGCGACATTTGTCGACAAAGTAGGTTACATCATCGAGTAACTGTAGGCACTTCCGGAGTGGGTTCGAGGCTAGAGCGCATGTAGTGCGCATGAGCGGAAGTTCATTTTGCAAGACTGCATGGTTTGAATCTTGGAATAATTCTCACTACGGAGACTTAGCAGGAGGGAGACCTACCTTTACGTTTCACGGAAAGGAGAGAAACGATGTTTCTATTGTGTATTTACTTCGAATATCGAGGTGAGAGTTTCGAAATATTATCAATTCGAGTGAAACCGAGTGTTGTTGAATCGATGTATATCGTAATCGCTCAAAATCACAATAATCTGATCGAGGTTATGAAGTGAGCTTTTCGGACAGCTAAAGACAATTTTTACTGATTTTATTTTGAACATCGAAGTGCAAGTTTCGAGATATTATCAGTTTTTCTCTGGACAAGTGTGTTAAATCGACATTCAGTGTTGATATAAATTATTACGTTAATATGCCATTACGTTAATATGTTGCATGTCATAGACATGAACAGTTAAATAAATATATATTTATTTATCGTCCCTCTTCCCGACCACAAAGTATAATGTGTAATCGTTATAAGAGTCAGTCAATTTATATAACATTTTGTAAAAATGAGAAACATTATTTTGTTTCAAATGAATATTGCTATGGATGTACGCAAATTATATCTGCGTTTATGACTGACAGCGTCAAAACCTATCATTTTTGTATCACAATTGACACGAGGTTCATTTCTACCTACGTTATCGACAATTAAACTCGCCAAATTCTTTCCCAATTTTTGCTTCGAAATTGTCAGTCTTTTTTCATCTTAACATGTTTAACACCATATATTTAAAATCATATATTTTTTTTAAGAAACAGAACAATATCTACGTGTTATATCGATAGAACATAGGCCTGTTCGTTTTGTCTGCACTGCTGAACTGGTGCAACAAGTTGAAGTGAGAAAATCTACGTTTGTTTCACTTTAACGTAATGCATTAATTCAGCAGTGCAGACAAAACGAACAGGCCTCATGTCGAGATTATTCACGTTAACATATATATTCTAAATTAATAATGAAATTTCTCTCTCTTTCTCTCTCTCTCTCTCCCTCCCTCCCTCCCTCCCTCCCCCTCGTTCCTTACTCTCTTTTTCTCCTCCCTTTTTCTCTCTTTTTTTTCTCTCGAAGAATGATTTTCAAAATTGTCGATATTGAGAAATATCCAGAAATGAGATCGCCAAGAAAGAAGCGCACGAGCGCAGTCAGCGCCACCTACTGAAAACAAAAATGGTGGCCAGCAATATGCCCTATCCCTGCCCTGCTTTAATGGCACGCCAAATGTCTGCGTTCTCTAGGCCCCTTTCTACTATGTATTCCCTTCCGACTGATATATCTAATTTCGCTGTGAACAGAGGGACTCGCATTGCCGCAGTAGACTCTGTTTTCCGTGCGAAATAAGTGGTACCCGCTTCTAACCAAAACAGAACAGAAGGTGAAAGCAAAACTATTGAGATATTTAACAGAATTATAACCGCACCAGCTCGATACGACGTGTCATTCTTCTTATATAATGAAATTAGCCGCACACGATTTCGCATGACAGTTTTACGCCCGTAATATGCATTGTCCGTTGCTAAAAATGCGAAAAATGTCAAAGTATAGTAGTAGGTCTCATGAAGATCATTCCTTATAGCTCGCTATCGTGAAACGGGAAAACGCACGTTTTATTTTGTTACGTTTGTAAATCGTGACTGCTTATAACTCATGTAATATGCATTTCTGTAATTGTTTTACATCAGCATCCATTGAATTATCATTCAGTGAGTTTTGTTGGATTTGGAGAGGTAGCACTTGTATTACTTTTTACTGATATATGTATATATATATATATATATATATCTTGATGTATGTACTTGACACCCTAATAAATTAGCGAGGTTGAGTATTGTGAAATTTGTCTACATGCTGCAAAGAATTGAGTCTATTGATTTTGATTGGCTTAATAAACCCGAAATAAAAATATTCTCCTTTCCTTAATATAAAAATTTCTTTGTGATATTTTATCTTTTGTCTATATTGTCAGGTTGGTGAATTTTGTATAGAGTGGTAATGTCCGATAGAGCAAACACAATGAAGTTGGAAGCTGAAATGGCTACACCGTTGCACTTGCAAAGATTAGAACGTAGTCTTAATCTACAGCCATTTTTGAGGCAAATCAACGATCTCTTTCAAGAACAAGCTAGGTAATAACACATCTTTAATTAAATATCAATTTTGCTTTAATATTTATGATATACCAATAGTATATATTACAAATTAACATTACACAAAATGTTACATATTGTGTTTGTATCTTTTAGCGAAGATGACAAGTCTGTCTCATCAGAATCTTCTGATGGATCAGATGCTTACATTGAAAATGTACTCACCCGCAAGGAAGGTTGGTATATACAGCGTAACTTTTTCTAATTCTATCTATTTCTATGTGAGATTTAATATCAGCATCTTACATACAATCTGTTGCTCTTACACAGAAACAAGAATTAATAAGCTGAGGGTATACAATATGTCAAGTGTGGGAGAAGAACGACGATGGTTACAAGATATTCTATTAAGTGACTCCTCTGATAGTTCTGCATCAGGTTCCGATACAGATAGTCCAATCACAGAAGAAGATTTTCAGGAGATGTTGAAAGTTCACATATTACGAAAGAAGTATCAAGGCCGCTTCTATCAAAAACCTGAAGTACGACTAACCATGGGTGGACTCTAATATATAATTGAATATTAATGTATTAAACATATACATTATTGAATCATATGTGTATTATTGTCATTTTCAGAACATACAATATCAATATTATAGTGCAGGTTTACTGTCAAATTATGATAGATTTTTAGAACATCAAAAGCTAATTGTAGGGAATAAAAAAAAGAAAGAGAAAAAGCCCGACAAAAAAATCATGAAAATTAAGAAGGAAAAGATTAATCGTCATCGAACATCTGAAGAATATCGTGTATGTAAACGAGCTTTGCGTTGCTCCTATATTTTCGTATGTTTCGCGCTTACTTTATAAGAATCGTTATATTTTTAGAAAGGAGATTTTCCGGAAGGAGAATGGGATAGATCAATTCCCAGGGAAGAAGAATTAGACGAGGCTGAGTTAGAAGCTATAATGCGTCATCAGCCACGAGGGAGAGGGAGAAAGAAACATAACACTAAAAGCGTGGAAGTAATGACAATGAGAAGAAAAAAAATATGGGTTATGATGTCTAAGAAAGAACTGGGCAAAGTACAGCGGGCAAAATCTAATAATCATAAAGAGATGCTAATAAGTTGTAAAAAGGTTGCACAGCATTGTATGAAATATTGGAGGCAAAAAGCTATGCAGGTATATATACTGTTTATTATATCTCTATAATGTTTCTAATGTTCTTGAATTGGAACTGCAATTCATGTTATTTATCTTTATTACTATGATCCAGTCACAAAAAAATATGAAGGAGACTATCTGGAGGGCCAAACGTTTGACAAGAGAAATGCAGTCTTACTGGAAACGTTGTGATCGAGTTGAACGAGAAACTAGGAGAAGATTAGAAAAAGAAGCTGAAGAACAGCGTAAAATGGATGTAGAGCTTATCGAGGTAAGATAATATTGCCGCATTAGTCGCATTTTTATTTCTTTCTCAAAATACTTCGAAGAATACAACGTATTTGTTTCAGGCAAAACGTCAGCAGAGGAAATTAAATTTTCTTATCACCCAAACAGAGCTATATGCGCATTTTATGTCACGAAAATTAGGTAAAGCGTCACCAGAGGAACAATTGAGAATCCTGAATCAATTAGACGAAGAAAAAAATCCCAGACTTATCGGTATCGACGATTACGATAGGTACCATTATTAAACCATTATAATATAGAATTTTATCTTTAGAAATTGACTCTTTTTAATACCTGTTGTATGTAAGTAAAATACATGAAGATTTTTTATTTTATTCAATATGCAGCGAGGCCATGAAATTGAAAGCAAAGAGGAATGCTACCGAAGCGTTTGATAATGAAAAGGCTAGAACTAAACAGTTTGATACAGTCGCAACGTCTCAAGAATTACGTCTCAGCGATACACCTGACAATTTGGAGCATCCTCAACCCTCAATTTTCAAAGGAAATTTGAAAGGTTATCAATTGAAGGGAATGAATTGGTTGGCAAACTTATACGATCAGGTGTGTAATTTGCATATATATTAATGTTACCGGAATCGCGATAACTACATTATGCAGATATAATTTTCCAAATTTTATTTTGTAGGGCATCAGTGGAATACTAGCTGATGAAATGGGTCTGGGGAAAACTGTGCAGTCTATAGCATTTTTGTGTCATGTTGCCGAAAAATATTGTAAATATTTATAAAGAGCAAATTTTATTGATATAAATTGATATCGGATGTGTGTTACATTCGTCAAAGCATTAAAAAAAAATAATTTGGCGGCACATCTTTAATAGACTGTTGTTGGTGTTTTCTAGCTGTTTGGGGGCCATTCCTAATTATATCACCAGCTTCTACATTACATAACTGGCAGCAGGAAATGGCAAGATTTGTACCGGTATTCAAAATAGTTCCATACTGGGGTAACCCTCAAGAACGCAAGATACTTAGACAGTTTTGGGATACTAAAGATTTGCATACAAAGGAAGCATCTTTCCACGTAGTAATAACGAGTTACCAATTAATAATCACCGATTATAAATACTTCAATAGAATAAAATGGCAGTACATGATTTTGGATGAAGCACAAGCTATAAAGAGCACAAGCAGGTATATTATTTTATATCTTTCCATTGTGTCCGCGTGTTGTAATTGTTGTATTACAATCACTAACCCTAATATCTTTGATAGTATGAGATGGAAGTTGTTATTGGGGTTCAGTTGCCGTAACAGATTATTGCTTAGTGGTACTCCTATACAAAATAGTATGGCAGAATTATGGGCATTATTACATTTTATTATGCCGACTTTGTTTGATTCACATGACGAATTTAACGAATGGTTTTCTAAGGATATTGAAAGTCATGCAGAAAATAAAACGGGCATAGATGAGAGTGAGTGTTATGTCGCGTAAAATACACAAATATACATTCATAGTTGCAAAATTATGTATATTAATTAAAATATTCCATGTTCGATGTTAGAACACTTATCGAGGCTGCACATGATTTTGAAACCTTTCATGTTACGAAGAATAAAGAAGGACGTAGAAAATGAGTTATCTGATAAGATTGAGGTGATGGTGTATTGTCCACTTACAACGCGTCAAAAGTTACTTTACTCTGGTAAAGGTTTACTTCCACATCCTCCGCATATTTCATGTTAAAAAAGAAAAAACATTAATTAATACATTTCTATCGTTTATAGCGTTGAAAAAGAAAATTAGGATAGAGGATTTACTGCATTACACAGTAGGCGGAGGCGACACTGCATCCAACGATAAAAACTTTACTTCCAATCTAATGAATCTAGTCATGCAGTTCCGAAAGGTATGTGTCTTCACTGCACATTTTATTTACATCTTATACATACTTCTCATGTGTGATGCATAATCGATTTTACAACTTTTACACACTGCAACTCTTACACACTGCATTTAACTAGAGCCTATAACCCTCTCAAAAGGCGAATCTAAGTATGATCGATTTACAGGTCTGTAATCATCCGGAACTCTTTGAACGTAGAGACGCTAAATCGCCGTTCTTTATGAACACTGAATTGTACAATCTGCCCATCTTACTGTATAATGAGGGACTTTTGCATCTAGCATTACCATCCAGGGATCATTTGTTGTGTAATAAGTTGTTTATATTCGCTGCGGAATATATTCATCGTGCTCTTCACTGCGATGTAGACTCGCACGAAAATACCTTTTCCTTTAGCAGATTTGTTAATTTATCTCCGATGGAAATAAATAAGATTTTTATTGCCGGTACTTTATTCAGGTATGCAAATAAAGTTTGTTTTGTTGAAAGTTTTGTTGAAAGAACAATTGATTCTTTGTGTATATATATTAATTGCAATTGTCATTGTACATGTTTTTGTGTATGTTTCAGATTGTATTTAATAACGTTGATGGAGAGAAGATTAAAAATAATACAGTACTGGGAGAATTGGTGCGTCGACAACAGATCGAGAACGCCCATGAATCAGTTGTTTTATTTGCCCCGAAAAATTGAGGCTTTATCGATGACGTTACAGGATTTGTTGTTTACGAGAAAGATAATTGAAGGCGAGGCTTTATATGTACACACTGCCCATACAATACACTCAATGCCGGAAACTGTTGCTCACAGGATACTACGTAGCAGTAAAAAATCTGCTAATCAACTGACAAAAGTATATACAATTTATTTACGATACGCAATATATACTTGGAAAGGCCCGAAGCCCGCGCGAATCAACGTGTTTGAATATTTAGTTGCAGAGAATACTTCCTGCTGGTAAAGCGGAGCAATCGGAGGACTCGAAGTTGTCTTTGTTGCCTGAGCATCCTCACCATCCGCGACAATCCATAGTGCGATATTGTCAGGAGACAATGATTCCTGCCTTCGTTTGCGACAAGAATCCCAAGGTAACCACAACGTAACCTTCGCGTAACATTCTCGTACGAAACGAAAGATTGCGTATTTATACCGACTCCCGTTTCATTACAGGTTCAAGCTAGTCCGCGTAAATTATATGTTAGTAGCAGTTCCGCAGCGTGTGCTTGGAAGAGGCATGAGGAATGCGGCGGATTATTTGGTCAAAGATTACTTTGGTTCGGCTGTGAACGAGCACTTTCCTCGTCAGAAAAAAATTCAAGTGTATGTGTTGGTCAAACAACGTCAACATTTTGCTACCAGCCACTAGGTGGATTGTCCGCGTGCGCTCCTGTTAATGGATGGTCGAATATCATTGTGCCAGGTACATTAAGTATATGTTTGCACGTTATAACATAAGGAAAGTTGGGGAGAAAATTGTCAAGCACAAACTAAATGATTTTAGATAAGCAAACGTTAGTAACGGACGCCGGCAAGCTCTCAGTACTGGACAGTCTTTTACGACGCTTGAAGGAACAAGGACACAGAGTGCTCATTTACTCTCAAATGACGAAAATGATTGATCTACTTGAGGTACGTTTTATTCATTCGTTACACAGGTAGCCGATTTATAATTATAAATTTATCGATATAAATGTATTTTTCGTAGGAATACATGTATCACAGGAAACACACTTTCATGAGGTTAGATGGTTCGTCGAAAATCTCGGACCGCCGAGACATGGTAGCAGATTTTCAGAAGAGGTAATTATGTTGTCTTTATCCGTATGATTCATTGCAATGATTTTGCGTCCGATGATTATCTCCGTCCGATGAATTCAAATATTTCGTCACTGTGAACAGTTTGCATAGTCTTCCTTTTTCTCTAGGAGGAGACTTTACGTCAGTTGCACACGTTGATAAAAATACGTTATTCGTAATAATAATATAATAATCAGAACTGCCGTGCTGATTAGAATGTCTATCATCCTCTAACAGTATTCAGTTGCATACTTAAAGCGCGATTCCGAGATCGCATGTCCTATGTGGTTCAGCCGCGCATAACTAACACGCGAATTAATTGGCGAATCGTCCCCATCTTGTAGACAGCTGCAGGTTTTTGAATGGCGGTCTAACGGTGGGCTGTTATTAGGCAGAACAGTATGTCGGTCACATCATATAATAGCCCAAATTTTTGTTCAAGTTTTTCTTAAATATATAAACAGCATATTTCTTTGCGGTGCAATTTATTATCACATAGCAGGAAAGCATAATTTATTAATTTCTCCTTCGCTAGGAATACTCTTTCTTAATTACATGCGTTACAATTTAATTTTGTATATTTCGAGATAGATAAGAAATAATGAGCACAAACGAAGGAATATTATATGTCGTAAGCCCACGAAATCTTATAGACACGATTAGATTGCTGTTGTTGGATAAGAATTTCATTTTTAAATTTCATTTAGAAATCCCCTAAATGCCGGCAACTCGAATTAATTTACATACAAAACGGTCGATGTCGTTGTTCCTCGACATGGTTGTTAAATTCGCGGGACTGTTTCGTGTTTCAGAGCGGACATATTCGTCTTTCTGCTCAGCACTAGAGCTGGCGGCCTGGGAATCAACCTTACCGCAGCAGACACGGTAATTCTATTCTTACTTTAATTCATCTTTTATGTATTTCTACATGGGAACGTTATAAATTAGCTAAAAAGGAGAAAAAATTATACTTGCAAAATTGAGCGTATGTTGTGCGCCCATTTATACATTTGTAAAATTGTTTAACATCACGAGCACATACAAAAGAATGGTACGTGAATTATTTATATACAAATTATATTCACCTGCAATATTGATCACGTTGCAACTTAATTTCGTCCTTAAAGCGCTTGCAATTAAATACTTGTAATTAAGTACAATATTTGTTGTAAATCATTCACACGGATTTTAACAAAAATTGAATAATAAGCGCGTCTGTAACGCGGCAAGAGAAGAAGCGTGTATTAATTTATCTCGCGTGTGAGAACTATCGTCATAACCCGCGTTTTCTCGTGTCGAGTCGATAGTTAGATATTACTAATTTTTTTTTTTTTTTTGTTTCTTCTCTTATACACACTGAAACTGCAGCACTAAGCGAAACCTATTTGCAGGTCATATTTTATGACAGCGATTGGAACCCCACCGTAGATCAACAAGCTATGGATCGCGCCCACAGGCTGGGGCAGACTAAGCAAGTCACGGTCTATCGATTAATATGTAAAGGAACTATCGAAGAGCGAATTCTGCAGAGAGCGCGCGAGAAGAGCGAGGTTTGTTTTATATATCGACGATCATTGAGTAGTCGCTTGAATTAAGTAAGACATGCGCGAATGCGAGGCTATCGTACGTTGCAGATTCAACGTATGGTTATAAGCGGTGGAAACTTCAAGCCCGATACTCTGAAACCCAAGGAAGTGGTCTCGCTTCTACTGGACGATGAGGAAATCGAAGCTAAATGTAAGTACTCACATCACTTAATAAACTTTGTTGATTTCTCAACGGTATTTCTCAGATTGACACTTTTCCAAATCAGAATTCACTCGAACTTAACCGTGGAATACAATGCCATCCTCCGTATACATTGTAGAAAGTTTTATGAAAAATGTATCAATCATAATTCCGTAATAACATTTACATTTAATTGAACTTTGTCTGAGAGATCTTCAAATCGGAGGATGGTATAAAATTGAAATGAAGTCGCCTGAATAACGGCTCAGTAAGCCAGAAATTTTATTCGTCGGGAGGTCGTTGGATCGTCGAGTTTATATTCGCCGCAGCGCTATATCGACCGCTGTATCGTATTCGCATGGCGGGACGCGCGAACGTGTATGCACAAACGCGTCGAAAATGCGAGCGAGGAGGGGGCGACCGAGGTGGCCGCGATTACATTATGCTCGTTAGGTTATGCTAATGGCCTAATGAGGAATAATAATAAGAAACGGAGTAACGAACTTGCCGCTTGCGTCCCCGTGTACAAGCCCACGTCCGTATATTTCAGACAGCCAACGAAGCGAGGAGAGAAAGCAGCAGCGAGCGGAGGAGGCTCGCCTCGAGTCGAACCTACAGCACAAGGAGAAGGACCGGAAGAGGAAGTTAACCGCGCTTCCGGTCAAGGTGAGCCCGGCGCCCTTACACACCGCTATCGGTCGCGTCGCTAAGATTTCTTTTTCGTTGTTTTCTCTTCTAACCACCGCTCTTTCGTTCCCACCTATTACCGCTCCTGTTTCCCGTTCCCCTTAATATCACGCTATCGGCTCGCAGCTGAATTTAGGCGGAATCGTTGATTATCGTGCCGAGGAATTAATTCGGCTCGCTGAGCTCACTCACGATCGGCCGGATAAATCGCTTGATAGTATTCACTTCGAAGTGTGAGCCGAAATTGAGAACCGTTAATTGGCTCTTGTGTTCTTTCGTTATTACTTATTAGGAGCGGTAGATCACGATTATGTACTGCTATACTTTTCGCTCGTCTCGATTGTACTTTTTACCGCAGACTTTATTTTTTAGAGCGACGCGAAGAAGCCATGCCTCGCCGACGCTAATGGCGACAAAAACAACGATGCTGTTCAAATTAATGTTAATGAGCCTAAACCGGCCGCCAATCCGATTCAGTCACAGCACCAGAACAATCACCATCAGCAGCAGCTAGAAAATGCGGACAATTACAGCACGCCGACTAGCCCGGCCAAGTCAGAGGTATGAAGCTGCGATAACGTTAAGGATCATCTAGGAGACGTTCTCGTTATATGTCAATCTTCACTCTTAGAATATCAACTTTTTTGCTCATGTTTTGCTCGCGTATCATACAAAATTTATGAATTGAGAATATAATTTGTCAACAAAATCATCACATTCTCCGAAAGTACTTCCAGAGTACGAGTCAATTCCAGAAGCGTAATCTATCGTCCATTTTTTTACTCCGACAATGAAAAAACCTTCGATACTGCGCATCGAAACTCGAAAAACGAATCTTTGACGCTTGTGATTTCTCTTTGTTGCAGGACGAAACAAGCAACGAGGGTTTGGTGGTCGATGTTGACGGCCCGGTGGCGGTTTCCGGCAGTGACGCTCGCCAAGCTCGAGCCGGCAATGTTCAGTTTGGCGAGCCGTCCAAGGTCGCCCGACTCGGTCATCACTTCGCTTTCGGCGTGAATGCCGGCGCGCGTATGCGACAATCCGTACGTGGCGCCAGCAAGCGCGGTAGGCCAAGAGGTTCTCGTCGAGGAGGTCCGATCGGCGGTAAAGGCAGAGGTGTACTTCTCTCGCATGGCCCGTCCAAGTCCTGCAACGCGGTTGGCAGTCAATCTCCATCTTCCTTGTCGCCGACCGGTGGTGGCAACGGTGCTGGCTCCTCCGGCGAGCAGACGGTGCAGCAGGGTGAGTACTCGTTTGATCGTGGTATACATTTTTATCGATCATTGCAAAAGATTCGGCAGCAAGTATACCGAGAAAGATACCAAGAGAAATGACGCAAGAAACAACGTCTGCCGAGATGATCTCATAGGGATCATTTTTAACGCGATAAATAAAATTGTGACAACGAGATTCGTCGGTAAATAAATAATACGCGAGTACGATGTCTGTCGTGAGCTATCGCGAGCGAGACTCAATTTGTCGTTGATTAACGATTGACGGTATGCGAATTTACGATAAACTTTTTCGTGTAACGACAATTTGACAATCATCATCATCATCATATACCCATCTGGTATGCGGTATTGTCGTCGCATTGACTGAATTACTTTCGCGTCTATCAACGCTCGCGTATCTCGGTAATGTTATATGGTATAATCCGACATAATACGTATAAATATTAATCAGCTGCGATCACACCAGCCGTTCTATCGGCCGTTATAACACACACGCTATGCAACTATCAGCCTGCCCGTAACCGCTCGGGCTGCTGGCTCTATCGAATTCGATTATTATCTGCTGGAATTATCAGCAATGCGCAAAAGTGTGCATAATTAATATCGCCGCAACGGTATCGCGCGCGTGTGTACGCTCACTCGCACGCGTTTCGATAAACGCGCGGATTTCAACGATTTTCCGAGAGATATCAAAGAGCGAGAAAGCTCTTCAAAGAGAGATCGCAAAGGTAGACAACAAAGCGCGACAGCAACGAAATCGGGGGGCTCGCGCTCGCCGATCGGCGAGGAACGTCGCGAGAAAAATGACTTCTCTCGCGGAGACGCACCCCCGTGCGTCGTCCAATCGATATGTGCCGTTAATCCGGCGGCTGACTCTTTCATACGGCGGTTCCCCCTTGCGCCATCACCGGGTGTTGTCCTTCGTATCCCGGGCACTTGCCCGGGTTCTCAGGGGATTCCGCGGCTCGCAGAAGAAGAACGCCCGTAGGTCCATGTCGCGACCCCATTCGCCGGCCCGAAGCGAAATTCCCTCGCGAGCACATGTGCACCCGATTGTCCGGAGGGGGCTAACAGTTGGCACTCCTCCACGGGGCACACACGTGCTGTACGGCGGCGCCCTCGGAGACATCCAGCCCCCTTTGAAATTTCTCGTGACTCATTCCCCAGCGAGCCGTTCTGATCGGTCGCGAGATCCGCCTCGGCATGGCCAAATGGGGGGTGGGGTGGGGGGGGGGACGAGAGTTAACTGTGCAGCGTTTGTCACAAAGGAAAACAAGTGCGGCGCGAATGTATCTTGATGACACGCAGGGTGTCTCGCGAGAGAGGGGGAAGAGATGGAAATCTGTCAGTCACTGGGAAAATGGGTTAGTCGAGCGATATTAAAGCAAAAAGCATACGAACAATACGCGCGGTTTAGGCCGAGACGAGAGAACGAAACCCTGAAACTTTCCCTGCACAGTAGCGGATGTGACCGATGACGGTTGTCGCGTCTTTTGTTTGCTCCTCCCCTCCCCCCTCGCCTGCCCTCTGGCCCCCTGCTGAATCAGGGTTTTTTGACTACTGGTTTTTGCGAACATGACAAACGTGACCGTGCAATCTTCATGCCTATATCCTGTCCGTTTGAAATAATTCGGCTGAAACCTTTAAGCCTACCGGTTTCATTCACCGGAACATCCCGCGGTATAATGAGAGATCGCTCTAGCGCGAAGCTAGGAGTATCAGAATCCCACGCGAACGTCCAGCTTCGACGTAACGTCGAAGTAGACGTCGACCGGCGCTAATTAGAAGTAGGTAGAGACGAAGGTACCGGACGGGTTCGCGATAAGATGACCTCACGCAATGCCACGTGGATCGTGAACATGGAGCGAATACCACACGCGCGTGCGTGCGTGCGCGCGCGCGATGCGAGGCTACGCGTTCATTCTCGTGCTACGCGCGCACGGAAGAAAAGGGGTCGGTCTCTCTCACTTGTCGTCGACTGGAAGGCGAGCGGACAATAGCAGGTGCGGAGCGAAGGCGACAGCTGCGATCGATGCTCTTCTTAGGTTTTTGGAACTCGCGTAACCCCCCCCCTCTCCTTCTCCTTCTTCCGTTCTCTCTTTCTCTTCCCCCCCCTCTCTCTCTCTCTCTCTCTCTGTCTTATCCTTCTTGTCTTCTTCGTCGCTGCATTTTTGTGCGTCTTCTCTCTCTCTCTCTCTCTCTCTCTCTCTCTCTCTCTCTCTCTCTCTCTCTCTCTCTCTCTCTCTCTCTCTCTCTCTCTCTCTCTCTCTCTCTCTCTCTCTCTTTTTCTCTCCGCCACTCCCTTCGTCTTCTCTTCTCCATTAGTTATCTCTTTATCGAGATATGACGCGTGTTTGATCCAACTATCAATATTTCGGACTCTCAGCGGAGCTCTCGTTGGCGTTATTCTCGCTGATAAGTTTGCCATCGTGTTTGCTCATATTACGCCCCATAAACTGGTGGTTGCGATGAAATAATAGGGGTACGTATCCGGTACCGGTGTGCGGTTGAACGCGTTGGAATGGATGTTTGTGTTAGATTCAAGAGGGAGATATATATATATATATATATTTGCGGGAATCTTGAATTTTATCAGATCAATATTACGTTCCAACTGGCAAATCTGTGCTGAAAATGTTCAAAAGTTAGGCCGAGTGCAATTTGACGCTTTTCCGAACGTCCCTGATGAGCGCAATGAATCTTAGGTATGCATAAATAAAAAAAAGTTGTCTATATTACAAATCGCTGCGTAACGCGCGCAATTATGCACGTCTGTCGCAAGTCGTTATTTTCTCGTTACTAGTTACGAGTCGTTCGATTTAGCAACGACTCCCACGATACGACCGCAATATACGTTTCAGTTGCATAATCCCGACATCTAATTTCCCCCGTCGTTTCGCGAGGTCGAATAAAAAAAGGAGACAGATTGTAGGGTAAGGCGAATTACGCGGGCCCCGTAAGGGGTTGAGTGTTGTCGATTCGTGCCGTACCTTACCGTACCTCACTGTGTCATCTCGTCCGCCGACTCCGCACCCACTCGAATATCATATTTTCATACCGTCGTACAGACAGCGTTCTCTCTCGAGTAATGCAACGTCAACGTACATTTGCCCCCTCCCCTCTCCCCGTTATTTATTCCATTATTATAATGTCCGTATTCACAATTGGATAGCACACACGATTGCAACGATTAACGCCCGCCGTTCACGCATAGAGCGTCAGTGTCTGTATTGATAAGTGCCTGAGTCTAAAGTCAATATTAAACGTTAGACTTGGACTTGACATTTTTCTTTTCTATTTTTATCTCTTAAGATACCAACCAAAGATTTTGATATTTTTTACGCGTTTTATTGAACCAGCACGAAGATATCAAACGGGATTATTATCCCGTTACGGGCGATATCGCGCTCTTTCACAAATGACTCAACAATATGACAGTTTATCTGTAAATTTCCTATCGTTTGTACAATCTACAGTCCCTTCAAGAAGCGCTTAATTAATAGATATGCCTAACCGGAGTTAATGGGCGGAAAACGCTTTCGTAGAGGGTCCTTGATCCTGTTAAGTAACGCGATTATCTCGGTTTTCGATCTCGAAGTTCCTTCGGAGCCTAAGTGTTCGAGACTATCCGAACACGACTGGATAGGAGATAAAATATGGCGGTGGAGATGCTTCGACCGTAGGGTGAGATACGGTAGGATAATACGCGGCAGGATAGGACGAGGCAAGGATATAGCAGCGAGCCGGACCGTCGACATTCCGCGGATCCTCGTTCCAACCACCTCGAAAGTTTTACCTTTGCTCCCAGCGCCGAGAAGCTCTCATCAACGCGCATTCGTTAAGCTAACGCATATACGCGTTACATTATGATACAATTTATTCGATTCGATCGTAATGCAAATTGCAAATTATTTTGCAGAAGCGTTACGTTATTTGTGAGGAGGCGAATTCAGTCGCCGCGAGAGTTTCATCGCACAAAAGCATATAAGCGTAAGAGCTAATTTCATTCGTTTGTATTAACACGCATCACACACGATCGTCGACACGTTTCCTCGCTTTATCGCGGCTTCTCACGTAATTTTGCGACTCTCCAGTTAGATCTCGCGCCGTCGAAAGATTACGACTTGTCTCGAAATTTTACTTTTCAATTTTAAAAGAATGCATTTGTTGTATATATTTTTTATGTGTGAAGCAATGCTTAATGATTTCATAAGATACGATGTGCTACTTTCGTGTTACTTTCGTGTTTGTTTAATAGAGATAGATCAAGGGAGATGTTTAAACTTGGTTACGTTTCGTAGCCTTCCTTTTTCTGTCCGATTCGCTTATTTCGGGCTTGTAGCGTAGAAACATCTTTTTTATACAAACAGAAAGCCAGCCTCTCTGTGACCCTTGCAAGATGCGATGTTGTGGCAAATAGATGGTGAAGACGTGTTGTTTTACATGTTACACAACCACCGACAGAGAAATGAGAGAATATTTAGATTTCAAACTGTGTGTCGTGTATGACAATCGCGAAGATAGTCGGCGGAGCTTCTTCAATTCTCCCTTTTCTGCTCTACAATACGATTCATGGGTAGAAATTCCCAGAGCGCATTTCCCACCGCGCTCGACGGGAGTGAGAGCCGCCGGGCTTTGTGAAAACGCACGTTTTGGCATTTTCATGCCTCAGCCATTTCCTTAAGTATCCTCTCCGATTGAAGAATGCCCGAACGGTAGCTCTCCCCGAGTAATCGGCTACGTGACGCAGAATATCGACGAGACCGAGATGAAGGGTCGCGAAAAGGACCTGCTACTGGCAAAATACGTCTGAGGCTGCACCAATTTTCGCACGTTATATTGCCGCAAGTTGGGAGAAAAAGTGCCTGAGAACGTGTCTTCCCTCGTTCCTGAAACTCTTTCTCTCTTTCTCTCTTTCTCTCTCTCTCTCTCTCTCTCTCTCTCTCTCTCTCTCTCTCTCTCTCTCTCTCTCTCTCTCTCTCTCTCTCTCGCTCTCTCGCTCTCTCGCTCTCTCGCAACTCACGACGAGTACAGATAAAACCGCTCTCGAAGCGTTTTACCAGTCGGCATAATATGTTGACAGAAATATTTCTTAAAGGACATTGACTATTTAGCTGGTGTTTTAGTTTTTTTATCAGAAACGCAGAGATGTCTCAAAGGAAGATCCACCTTTGCAACATAACATGATTTGTAGTATATTTCTTTCCGTACTTCGCTTCCCTCTAGAGGGTGATTCAGCGCGTAGAGTGACACGTCGGCAGGTGTGAATCGATTTTTTCGTCTGATACTTAACCAGGGCGATAATCAGGGACGTCCCATTCTCCGTTCGCGGCCGCTTACTTACACACCTCGCGTATTCGTCGAGCCCCGTGTGTTTTCTCTCATCTTCGGCCACACTTCGTGCGAAAGCGCGGTGAATAACCGATTAAACTGGTCGAACCAGTCGACGTTAAACTTGGTATCGTACTGCTCTCGCGTCCGCTCCGTCGTAATCGTGAGACTTACAATTATGTCCACGTCCGCCGCCGTCCGATCGACGCAATTAGCATCGTCGTTGTCACAGGCGAACGTTAGATCCCGTCCACCGCGTACACAAGTTGTAGTGGAAGTCTCGCCAGACTCGGCGCGGGAAGATCTCTCCGAGAGAGAGAGAGCGGGGGGAGAGAGAGAGAGAGAGAGAGAGAGAGAGAGAGAGAGAGAGAGAGAGAGAGAGAGAGAGAGAGAGAGAGAGAGAGACGAGGACGATCTCGATTTCGCGACGTGCTTTCGCTTTCCGCACGTCGAATCGGAAGCGGATCGACGGTCGACGTCTCTATCTCGACACGAGTCTCTGCCAGGCTCCTAGAAACGAGGGGCATTTTACGTTTTAGGAGCGCACACGACCACCACCGGCCCAGCCGACGGCGACGGTCCGAGCACGGTAGGTCCGATAGGTCCACTGAATACTCTGACTCCCTTATCTGGACGCGGCAACGTCGCAGGAATTCGCAGAGGTCCAGGTAGACCGAGACTCCGACCGACCGGGCCTGGACACCAAGGCTACCGCAGTCCCGGACATCATCACCATGGTAAGAAACTCCAGCGATCGTTGCCAGTGCCGATCAGGTCTCAAACGATCGCCGGCTCCGGTCATCAGCACAAGGCAGCTTCGTCGTCGTCGCAGCAGCAGCCACAGCCACAACAACAGCAGCAGCAGCAGCAGCAACAACGTTCCAACATCTCAACGCCCGGCTTGTCGTCGTCGTCGTCGTCATCATCATCCTCGTCGTCCTCGTCGTCATCGTCGTCGGTCCCCGTCACCGCCGCAAACTCGGCGCAGCTGTTGACTTCGACGTTAGGATCGTCGGCGTTGTCCTCGACAGAGTCGCGACCCTTCGGTTTCTACACGCAGCAACAGCAGCCGCGAGGGCCGGCGTAGTCGCGCGAAGTGTCAAATCCGATCGGTCACTCGATAACGCGACGATAGGCGACGACGTCATGTTCTCCGTTTCTTCTTTCAGCCGTGAGAATCGATGAGCGACGGAGCAGCGTTGCGGATCGATAGGACCGAGTATGTGAGAACGCACAGTGTTTCCTTCACGAAGAAAGATGTGATGTGCGCCGTATCGATGTTTCGACAGACTCTCTCTCTCTCTCTCTCTCTCTCTCTCTCGATTAAAATATCGCTGGTGTTTGGCAGAACGAGCCGGAAAGCTCGCTGAGCTGTTCGAGGATCTGCTGTTCGACTCGCCGTGGAATTATTTATTTGCTCCATGGTATAACGAGAACGCGAATTTCGGCCTCCGGATTCTAGGAAGCGGATTTCCAATCGCGAGCTCGCGCTCCGTTTCTCCGGACGTCGTGAATCTCTCCCGTCGTGATCGATCAGTCGTCGCCGAACGTGGCCAAACATGCCCTACTAGTGGTTTCCTCCAGTCTCAGCCATGATACGCCATTGTAGATTGCTTCTCCGATCAGATTCAAGTTTCTCTTGTTTGGGCGTTTTTCAAATCGGCAGTTTTTTTTTTATCATGAATATCTGAAAGGAGAGAGAGAAAGAGAGAAAGAGAGAATATCATTCGCCGTTGTGAGAAGAACGTCGATGGTCGCTGACAATTGAAAATCTCCTCGGTATCGGATCGTAGCTTCGTCGTAGGGGATTCTTCGGTCGGTGAATGTGTTTGATATACTTTGGAAAGTCGAAATCGAAAAGTATGCGCAACGTGTCCCGCGGATCCTCGAATCGCCAGCCGAGCGCGCTCTCTCTGGTCTATCGAGCGCGCCTTGTCGTCGTGTATTTGTTCTGTCGTAAACTTCACTTCCGTCGGTAGACGTGTTTTTATCTCATTCGTCCCCTTCTTATCCACCCCGATTTTTGAATCATCGTTGCATGCAAACGAAAGTGAACGTTGACAATATCTAGGTACTTGTACGATCGCGATGTGGCATACAAGCGTATTTATTTCGTTTATTTATGGCGTGTTAGAGCTGAAATATATGAAGGGGAGAAGGTTCGTCGAGAGCGTTTGAGAGCACGATTGACACAATCGACATTCACCAAGGTACTTAATTAATCCTCACACTCGCCTGCGGACCCTTCCTCGACCATTACTTCGACTCATCTCGTCAGTTCTTCGCGATGCAATTTTCAGCGTGCACTCCGATTCGATTCGGGTCCGATCAATTGTGGGCTCTCGAGATTTTCTTATCGCATGCTGATCGTTCACTGCGTGTGCGAAAAACTGCTGGATCGTGTTTATCAATAATTGATAGATAAATCGACCGCGACTCCATACGTGGTATAGACGTGGTATAGACGTGATTCTTGATTGCGTTCTAATTGTACAATTAGTTAATCGACATTAATCAATCGATCGTTTCGACATGTTTCGCGAATCAGCCAGCCAGATCGTTCCCGCGACCGGCGATCGCCGATTTTCTGACGGCGAATGCGTTAACGAACAGGCCAACACGAAAGAGGAGGGAAAGTATAACCTCCCTCTCCCTTCCCCCTCTCTCCCCATCAATCGCTCTCTCGGCGTCATTGTACATTGTCATTAACGATAGCATTATTCCGTCACTAGACTCGGCTAGCCAATATTTTTTAAGTATGTTACGAAACGTCGTTAGGCCAATTCAATTTGTAAGAGAATAGTATTTATATTAGCAATAAACAGGCGAAAAAATTTACCCCTACTTACCAATCTGTTTGGCGGAATTCTTCCACGAATTTTACACAGTTCCCACGGTGTCCTTCCGTCATCATCGTTTTCTCCCCCCGCCTCCCCCCCGGCTCTCTCTCTCTCTCTCTCTCTCTCTCTCTCTCTCTCTCTCTCTCTCTCTCTCTCTCTCTCTCTCTCTCTCTCTCCCCCTTCCTCCCTCCCTCCCTCCCTCCCTCCCTCTCGACGGATTCGTCGATCGATTCGTGTAGTCTCGGGTAGTATCCGTTTGAACGAGCTTCGAATTGTAATTATTGAATTATAATTAAATGATCGATCAAATGACGTCGCTAATTCGTCCAATTTAACTCGATTTAATTCAATTCAAAAGCGGGCTTAATTCTCACGTTGGGGATAAACATCTCGATTTTTTGTCTATTATCATCTCGCAATTTGACTTGCAAATGTCTTTCGTCGCTCGTGACGAATCGATGATTCGATTCGGTTCGATCCGTCGACGGGCTTCCGAAAAATCCTCGAGTTTTATCTCGCGATAGTGTAACCGCGAACGGTAGGAAAGGCATGCGAGACGAATCTGGAATATCCTGTACTGTTTAATCCCCAGCCCGCATTCTCTCCCTCTCGTGTTTCTGTTGTCCTTAATTTTTCGTGGAATATGCAAACGCGATCGGCCGCATTGAGCGAGCGCGGCATCAGAGGACGTGGATTCTGCGCGATAATGACTGATCAACGGAACGATGTCTGAAAGTTGGAAGTGCCGGCGTAATGGCGTGAGTATGCAGCTGTCGGTGGGTCCGCGTCATCATCATCTGCGTGATTGGGATCCTTCGTGCTCTCCGATGCCTCCCTGTCCGACCTGGCGATCGTCAATTCGACGCGCGACGTGCATTTTTCGAGTGAATTAACGAATAGCCCCTGCCTGTCGCAAGTCTCGATTAGGAGTTGCTCGATTCCCTCATCAGTTCCTCGAGTCTCACAGAATCTCACTCGGAGAAAGTGGGCTTGCACGATGTGCAAGTATAGCGAACTCTCGCTTCCGTTCGATGTTCAAAACGCTAACATAGGGTAGAATTCGAGATTAAGGGATGCTCGATCTATCAGCGCGTACGGCTGATTCGATCAATTTTATGGAATTTCGTTAATTAAATTAATTTACGGTAATGATCAGTTTGATTAATCAATTCAATTTGGCTATTTGAGACGTTATCTCGGCATTCAAACGAGTCATACTCGGTAACACATCGTTCGATTGGATTCCCACGTAGAATTGGGTTAGAGATTAATATTAATGATTTCCCTCTCACATCCTGTTGGGATTCAATTTTAATGAAGAATTCTGTTTCGATTCGCTGTGCTTTGCTGTGTTTGCGTGTCGCGTGCAGAGGAATGAATATAATGTCACTCGTGGCGTCACATCGTGTGTCGTCAACGATAATAATAACAATAAGCGCATACGATAGAGGACACACAGCAGAGCGGACATTAGCGTGCCGATATAGGTATAAATGCAACGCCTCGTGTAATCGCAGTTATATCGCAATTATAATCGTGCAGATATCGCATCGTGTCTCGTCAAGATCGCTATGACGAGTACTCGATGATAGCCGAAAAATCTCGGGTAAGTAACGGAAAGGAGCAAGCGGAGTGCGGAGAGCGGAGAGCGGAGAGCGGAGAAGAACTCGACAACGGTAGCGCAACCGGCTGTTAATAATATCAGGTATGTAGCAGGTCGTGTCGTGAAAAAGCACACCGCCCTTGCGGCACAAGTAAGTAACACGCAGGAAGGAAACAATTTCACATGTACGAAAACACGTCGTCGAAAACAGGTTTTCGTCGGCGATAAAATATAATTCGAGCCGCTCGCTCTCTCGAGGTGAGGCTTTTCCCCAGGAATATTAACATCCTCGCTCCCCTCTCCGTGTTCTTTTCCGAAAAAAGAGGGGAAAAAAATGAGAACGACTGTCTCGACTTTGAGAATTAACGAGGTTTACGAGGATTTAGGAAGGGAAGGGAGCTAACACGTCCTCTTAAACGAGTTTTCGAATGGCGCTACTGAAAAACGAGCGATTCATTAAATGGCTCGGCCTTTATGCACGCACGGTCACTGGCTGTGCATCGCGACCGATTGCGTCGCGCGTCGCACGTCCTGCGGGCACGCTGCCGCCGCACGAGAGAGAGAGAGAGAGAGAGAGAGGGAGAGGGAGAGGGAGGAAGAGAGAGAGAGAGAGAGAGAGAGAGAGAAGAGCAGCCGAGAGGACCGAAAACTTGCGCTGCACCTGCTGCTCTCTCAGGTGTACGCGAGCGCGCCTTTTATCCGCGCGCGATCAGAGTGCATCTCTTTTCTTCTCGTCCTTTTGCACGAGCCGTACGAGCGACCGAACGCCGCGCGCCCGCTTTTCGAAGCTTGCGATTAATCGGCGCGCGCACGCTCGATAATCTTCGGTTAATTATTTCGATCGACCGGTCGAGCGAATCTTTCTAAAAATAGACGTAGTCCGCACGAGAGAAGCGAAATACCTCGGTACGAGGTTTCATCCGCTATACAACACGGGTTCGCGTTGGTCGTCGAAAGTGGGGAGCAGCGGGAAGGAATGTCCAATTTTTTCTTATGCAGTCCACTTTCGTCTCGAAGGCGCGAAAAGTCGATAGTCTCTCCGTCGATCTTTTGTCATTTACAAAATTGCAGTTGTCGATGGCACTGACATCCGTGACGTGGAATACAGTAGGAATACTCGGTGCAACGTTCGCGCCATTGGCGCGAAAAGACTTCCGAAATCTTACCGCGATGGCATTTCCCGGAAGGAAAAGGGAGAAAGGGGGAGCGGGCTGCGCTCGTTCGCGCTCGCGCTCGTGCGCGTATCGATCACGCGAGATGTGACAGCCATAACGATGAAACGCGATCATATCGGAGCACCGCGTGTCACCGTTAAATTGCCCGGTGGGCACATCTGTGTGTGGTTAATTAGCTCTCGAGCGATAATGAGATCGATACGCGATCTGGGCGACAAAACGTGACTTGAACTTTTGACAGTCGCAGGTGCGAGAGTCGCATCCGCGAAGTGACTTCCCTCAAGGTCATTGTCAAACGCGCTGGCATATTCCGGCTGATAACTCGCATGGACTGGAGAACGTCTCTGAGTAAAATCGCCAAATCCCTTCTCGCGTATTCCGTATTTGCCGGGCGAATGCCGAGATCGAAGATCGAAGAGACGCTATCGTGCGCGGCTCCCCGCGTTAAAATTAATTCGTCGCTGCACCGTCGATCGAGTGCCACGCGCTACGTGTTACCTGTTGGGAGGGGAATCAACAGGTAAACCGCAGCTAGCGAGATCGCGTCTTTCCGTTTGACGACATCAATTTAGCCAATTAGTGTCAATTATTTCGACTACGCGAGCCCGCCTCGTGAATTTATGATTTTAAGCGAGCGGCCGGTGTTTCATGCTAATACGTAGTTAACGTGTGTCGCTGACCTAATACGTGTCGCACGACACGAGGGAACGCGTCATCGATTATCGCGGAAGTCTAGTTGCGGGGCCGGCTTCGGGAGCTGCCCGCTATCGTTATTCATCGGAAGTGTGTGTCTTTTTCTTCTCTTCTTCAATTCCTGCTACGCTCCCGAGATTATTCTCGTCTCTGCTATCGCGCGCGCGCGCGACCGATCGTATCGATGCGCCCCGCTGTCAAGTACAAAAGTCCCGCGCTCTCTTTGTCGGTTTTATTAAATTACTCCTTTCTTTTTCCACCACGTAGTCTTAAATTCGCCTGGCGAGGTTACCGACGCGCGCACCTCTTGGGAGCGCGCGTCCCTCTCAGCCCCTGAGACGCCTCGGGAGAGACGGTGGGATAATTTGGCGTAAGCGCTCGGCGCAATAATTAGCAAAGGCATCATTGCAATTAGGCATTAATATGACGAGCGCGCGTTATCCCTGCTGTCTTCCTTCGATCGCATCGCCGCGCGCAGTCGGCCGTGCGAGCGAGCGGGCGCTCGTTCCTCAGCATCGTCGTGTGTCTATGCCAATTAGGCGCGGCGGTTGCTCGCCATGAAATTCAAGCTCTTATTTCGGCGTGCGAACGCACACGAAATTAGCGAGGCGAAACACCGGGCCCGCGCGTTCGGCCCGCCAAATGGAGCCGCGTTTCGCAGAAAGGGCGCAGAAATTTGGCAACCACCGGTACCAGTTCGCGTTCCTACCTGAAGTAGCGGCGGAATAATCTGTTTTGCTCCGTCAATTTGAAAATTTTCTGTCATTCACAAAAAGAGAACGGCTTATCGGCAAGAGAGGCAATTGGCGGAAATGTTGAAGGGGAGAGGGGAGGGACTCTCGAAAACGCGAAATAATGCGGAAATATTGATTTCCAACTGGAAATACTTACGAACTTGAAGAATTCAGCTGTGCGTGCACAGCTGGCGCGCTCGCGCTGATACAGACGAGACGGGAAACGGAAAGAGAGAAATGAGAGAAGCGTTGCGTTACTCTCTTGTCGTGAGACAATTAACGACATCGTTAAGCCGCGAACGCCGTCTGCGATCGCGGAATAAATATGCGCGGGTTTTGCGCGTAAAAAGGCGCTGCGTGTGGGTCAATTAACGGCATCGTTAAGACGTCGGGACTCGCTCGTAATCGTACGGACGCGTATACGGAGATTTTGCGAAAAAATCAACGTCGGTTCCCACCTCTCTCTCTCGCTCCTTCTTCCTCCGTCCTTCTTTTTCCGTCCAGCGCAACTTTATTTATATACGTGCTAACCCTGCACCCTTACTCGAAACACGTGTCGCAACACGTTGCTATTTCTCTTTTGGTCTTGCTTCGCTCCGAGAGACGCGCGCACGGAGAGAATGAGCGTGTACGACTGTATGCGCAGAGGATTACTAGTATCTCTTTCCTGTCTGCGAATCCGAAGTGAAAAACGGTTAGGATAATTCGTATAATAATACGATGAATCCTGATTTCTTTACGCGCGTCAAAGCACTATTTGAACATTCACAAAGGTTCACAAGTCGAAGGCGAA